ACCTTTACCTTTACCTTTACCGCTCCATGCAGAATGAAATGCATTTGTCAGGGGAAAACCACATTAAACGTGGGAGACAGACACACCATAACGTCAGCAGTTTCAAAGTTCTAAAAGCTTTATTAAATTGTTAGTTTGACAAGCAATAATCATAACTCAATCAGAAACATACAAAATACTTACATAAATTCACATTGCAATGAGGACCAGCATGAGCAAGCTGTCAGGTAAAACAGCTTGGCCAAGTGGCCCCGACCCTTTTTCTGCAATCCCTTTTATTCTCAAAAACCGCAAACCACATTCATGACTCGCAGGATTTGCAACTGATTCATAACGTTCCCAATGCTAATTTTACCACACTTCCCTGTTCCATTTGTCCTTTTCCCATCAGCAGTTTGCTTAGTTTTGCAAGTTACCAATTTCCTGTTATTGCCCAAAAGGCCACATTTTAGCTAGCTTTGATTTTATTAAATACAATTAAAATTAGCATTAAAACATATTAAAGGTTACTAATAATTTTCCTCTCACACATTCCATCCACTCTTTGGGGGGATGACTTGAGCAGGGTATATTGTCTGTATTGCATGAAGAGCCAGCTGTACTAAGGGTTTTGTCCGAAGGGTTTCAGGCATGCCGCATGAAGTATGTGCACACATGTAAGCACTGTGCGCAGTAGACCTAAGTCTCACGTAGTTCAGTCTTACATTTCCCTGAACTGAATGAAAGGAGTATCTATTCAATTAGCAATCAATGCTAATTGAAAAGAGCTGCAATCTAGGTAATTAAACTGAAGCGATCGCGTGACTGAGCTGCAGTTTAATTTCCTCTGGTGCCCCTTTTTATGATTAGGTCTGCGCTCATATTGTACAAGCCATCCGAATGGAAGCCACGCGGGTCCGAGAAGAATGGGAGCATGCCATTTCCAGCAAAGAGAATGCCAACTCCCAGCCCAGCGATGAGGACGCGTCCTCCGATGCTTACTGCTTTGAGCTGCTGTCCATGGTGCTGGCCCTCAGCGGCTCCAACGTGGGACGTCAGTACTTGGCTCAGCAGCTGACCTTGCTCCAGGATCTCTTCTCTCTGCTGCATACGGCTTCTCCCAGAGTGCAGAGGCAGGTCAGTACCAAAAGGAGGCCCTCTTCCGGCGGCAGGATGATTGGCTCCACAGCCACAGTCAGCTAACCTCTGTGGTGCTCCTTTCAGGTCACCTCCTTGTTGAGACGGGTCCTGCCAGAAGTCACTCCCAGCCGCTTGGCTAGCGTCATAGGAGTCAAAGCACTGCCCCCAGCAGATATCAGCGATATCATTCATTCCACAGAGAAGGGAGACTGGAACAAGCTGGGCATCTTGGACATGTTTCTGGGCTGTATTGCCAAAGCGCTCACTGTTCAGCTCAAGGCCAAAGGCACCACCATAACTGGCACAGCTGGCACAGCGGCCGGGAAGGGCGTTACTACCGTTACTTTGCCAATGATTTTCAATTCCAGGTTAGTAGCAGCTATGCAGATGTTGTCTTGACTCAATTTCCAGTAGTCCATGGGACATTTCTGTAAGATTCTCACTTCGAGATGGCATTCACAGCTGTGTTCCTGAAACTTGCTTCAAAAGTGCCATCAATTCTGCCTTTTAAATCTTTCTTTTTTTCTCTCTAGTTACCTTAGACGAGGTGAAAGCCATTGGTGGATGAAGGGCTCAACTCCAACACAGATTTCAGAAATCATTATTAAGCTTGTAAAAGACATGGCAGCTGTAAGCTTTCATTATCTTAATACACCCCTTCTGCTCTGTTATACACGAATAGCAGCTTTGCTCAACTTTCTTTTTAAAACAGACCTTTTTCATCTTTGCGTGAAACATTATATTTATATTCATGGTCTGAACTACTTCCTTTGCAGGGTCACTTGTCTGAAGCTTGGTCCCGTGTGACGAAAAATGCCATTGCTGAAACAATAATTGCTTTGACCAAAATGGAAGAAGAATTCAGATCCCCCGTGCGCTGCATCGCAACAACTCGTGTAAGAAAGTTGGCTTACCTGTTATCACTGTTTTGGTTCTTTACTGAAAATTGCTTATATCTGTGCCAGCCACGTGTGTAATTGTTCATCCGCATACTACTTTTACACAGTTCTGCAAGAGGCAACTGAGCTGAGCAAACCTGGCAAAATGACATTTTAAAGTAGAAGCGTGTCTGATGCAGGAAACGTCAAAGCCTCTTTAAAGCCATGGTACACTTCTTGAGGGGAAAATCCCATAAGATGGTGCAAGGAACACGGTGCATTGTTTGTAGTGTATCCTGCCGCATAGCGCTGCGCTGACTGTTCTTCTGTCCGAAGCAGCCGGGGGGTCCGCCTCTGTTCAGCCCAGCTCGGGGGCAGCACCTGTCCCTCGGCTGCTGTCGGAAAGCAAAGCGCAAGCAGCCTGGTCAGCACTTTGACGGCAGGGCGAAGGGTCAGCCAGGAAGGCCGCGGAAACCACTTTCGCCTTGTCGTGCCAAGAAAGTGTCACAGAAGGTGTCCGGTTCAGCTTGAAGGAGGCATAACTTTTCACTGATCATTAAGCGATTTTAAGCTTCTTGTTTCTCTGGAGAACCAGTGTTCTGAGACTAGAAGTCTGTAAATCACCAAGAGCTGCTCAGATTAGAAGAGCACCTAAGCCCCAGGAAACAGATGAATAAGCAATCACTCAAACTATCGTTAAAGCCTTGATGTTGCTGAATGAGCCTGTCTTTCTCCCTGCAGCTGTGGCTGGCTCTGGCCTCACTGTGTGTCCTTGACCAGGATCACGTGGACCGACTCTCTTCTGGGAGATGGATGGGAAAAGACGGACAGCAGAAACAGATGGTGAGGAATGGGTACAAAGGAGGCTGCTGCCGCTGCTCCCTTCAGATGTATTTTTCAGAGCTGGTCTCCACATCTTCTGAGAGGCCGGACGTCTCTCGGAAGTCTGTACTCTTTGTTTCAGTGTTACGTTTCAGCGTACAGATACGTCTTGCTCTTGTTTGAAAAGAAAAGGGACGCTTAACATTAGCTTCAGCCAGTTGACTGTGGCTGACCTCCCCAAGCTGGGTAGAACTGGACCTGGTTAGTACTTAGGTGAGAGGCCAGAAAGCAGCGCCAGGCGTGAGGAGGCCAAGAAAGAAACGGAATGCCAGCCATAAACAATCCACAGATGGGAGAGGAGTGCGTTCGTAGTTTATTTCATAAGCTGATAAAGCTCTATCTTAATGAACTCTTTGTTTCTTAGTTGATTACTTATCATGTATTTGTTGTCACCAAGAAAAAAGGGCTGGAGATTCCAACCACAGCTTCCAAAATTCTGTACCTTCCCCGTAATTCTTGCATTCAAATTCCTTCTTGATCCTGTCCTGCAAGACAGGGCATAACACCAGGGCTGGAGGCCAAATTGGGAAATTAAGGGGGGGGAAATCCTTGAGGAATGCAACAGCAAACCACTTATTATGCTTAGAGAAAGGGTCACCTGGAGACAAGCTCAACACAAAGAAGACTTTACTAACTTAGACTGACCTTTTTAAAATCTTTCAGCCGATGTGTGATAACCATGATGATGGAGAAACGGCGGCAATTATCTTATGCAACATCTGCGGGAATCTCTGCACAGACTGTGATCGATTCCTCCATCTTCATCGACGAACAAAGTCACACCAGCGACAGGTAGCTTATGAGCCGTGTTTTCCAACCCTTAGAAAAAAAATCATAATTAAAATTCCTTTTTTTTTTTTTAAGATGGCACCCAAGTTAGTAATTAGTTACTTCCTAGTCACAAGAGAAAAGGTTAGGGTAGGTTGATAGGCAGGGATTTGCTTTTGCCAATCTGGGTTTATATATCATCACCCCAGATGTGCAGGGAAAGCCTGAACCAGTGTCAGGGTTTGGATGGTGAACAGAGGCTGAGATTGAACCCTACCAAAATAGAATTGCCTGTCATCCACAAATATTAGGGCAACTCAGTAACATTGATCCTGGTAGTTATTCTGCGGGATGGGGTTACAGTCCCCCAAAGGAGTAGGTTCATGACTTGGGAATTCTCCTGGACCTCTGGGTCCTATTCAACCAGCAGAATGTGGCCAGGTGGGCCTTGGTTTCAGTTGATGCTCCAGTGCAGCCCTGCCTTGACTATGGTACCCTCAAGATGGTGACTCATGCCCTGATCACTACTTGGTTGGATTACTGCAACACACTGCGTGAGGTTGCCTTTGAAGACAACTCCAAAGTTGCAAGTGGTCCAGAATGGGATGGCTAGACAGCTGCTGGTGGGCCAGCCCCGCCAGTGCAGAATCACACCTCTTCTTAGGTTGCTTCTTATTGTTGGCTATCACTTTTAAAGCCTTTTATGGCGCAGGGCCAGATTACATTGGGCAGTGCCTGGCTGTCCATTCCAACCATCCAGAAAGGGCCTGGCTAGGCAGCAGGCCTTCTCTGTTATGGGCCCCATATGTTATACACACTTCACCCAGATGTATGCTTGCCCCCATCCCTCCTTATGATTCCAAGATGCACTGGCTTGAATTGATTTATAACAGGCCTTCAGCTTGGGTATATGCAATATTGCTTTTATTTAGTTGATTACGGTCATATTCTCCTTTGTTTTTGCCACCCAGGGTCATAATTGAGTGGGTTAGCTTACAAACATTATAACCAAAGGCAAATAAGAGAAATATATAAACATATGAAAGTTCATATTAAGCATGTATTTTTATAATCTAGCCTCCCTGGTTACATATCTTAATATGCGTTTGGCAAAATTTAACAGGTGTTCAAAGAGGAAGAAGAAGCTATCAAAGTAGACCTTCATGAAGGCTGTGGTAGGACTAAACTCTTCTGGTTGATGGCACTAGCGGATTCTAAAACCATGAAGGCTATGGTGGAATTCAGAGAACATACAGGCAAGATTTATTTTTAACTAAAGTTTTATTTTTATCACTTGACTGGCGGCAATGTAAACTACATTGAGCATCCTGAGTTTCATACAGTGCTTATTTGTTTGTTTGCATTTATGTACAAGTATTTTTATGGCACCCAGCTCAATGAGACATCTGGTGATTTACATCTCTTAGTTCTGGAGATGCAGAAAAGAGTATACTGGGTTGCACCATAGTCTCTAGATTGGAGATCCTGGCTTACATAGAATACACAAGCATGGTTGGAGAAAAACTGGGCTTTGGTTCAGGCATATTGGTCAAAATGGGATTTTGCACATATGTCATGAACATGGGCTAAGGCTGGCAACCTAGTCTGCACCTTCTCTTTCATGTTACAGGAAAGCCCTGATTGACCAAGGCCAAAATGGTCACTGTGGGGCTCCTAGCTGCTGGCCCATCTAGTGACAACCACAGTAACACCAGATAGAGACAATATCATATCAGAAGAACAGCAGTCACCTGGAGAGAGAAGATCCAAAAAACATTCACCCTATCCCCCAACCGCATACTAACCCAAGGCCTGGGGGAAGAGCCAGGTTTTTCAGGCTGGTTTAAAGGCCTGAAAATTGGGGTAAGGTGGGATGGGAGTGCTACAAATCTCCCGGGGGGG